GTTGGAAGATATGACATTTTTGAATTGTTGGAAGATATGACATTTTTACTGTAGGGCTGGGAGGATTACTTTGGGAGACATCATCCACTCCAGCAATGTTGAAAGCATATTTACTGGGGATCAAATTGAATATAAGGGCACTATGGCTTATATTGATACAGGGTAAATCTTGATCATTTGAAGGCTCATTGCTTGGCAAGGTAACTCTTGGGGCTCAAAAGGAACTGGTAGTACAGATCTGGAATGCCTGTAGCTTGATAAACACTATGAAGCAGGACTCATTGGCCAGGATTGACTCAGGGCCTGTTACAGGCAAATCAAATTCCTTCATATTCTCATCCCTATGTACCCTGAGATCCTGAACTCTGAAGCAACCAGGTACTGGGGTGTTGAATTTGTAGGTGGTCTCCAGTTTATTTATATCATCCTATCAGGCTGAGTATTTCCAGTTTATGTCTAGGGAGACTCCCTACCTAAGGGGTTCCCAGGTGAACCTCTGTTGGAATTAGTCGGGCTTCTTTCTTTTGAAGGGGTGCTCTGCAGCTCTTTCATTGAATAAAAGGGTCAGTGAAGTGTACTTGTGTTGTTAAGTCCGTAAGTAGAACAGAGTATTTCTCCATGCAGTTGGGTTGTATTGGCAGTTCTTGCTGGTCAGCTGCATGGGGCCTGATGGAATGACTACTGTCTATTTTCCTACATTCTAGGTTTTGGCTATTATGTTTTCTCCTGTTATATACCGAAGAACTTAGTCCACAGACTTGATGTGATGATGATGTATGGTTTAATATGTCAGCATTTTGTTGTGCCTCTGTTATTAATTGGCGCTGACTGACTCTAGTCATTTAATGGCTTTACCCAGCTGATAAAATTAGTTGTAAAATAAAACAAAACTAATAATACAAATAGGTATAAATAAACAATTTGGAGCAGTTCCTTGTAACAGCTACTGTCTCACCACTGTTTTGGCTCCTCCCCCTTCTCTGAGACAGAATATTATATTTTAAAACTGAACATGCATTTGGTAATGAAGCATATGTTACTATGTCAAGTTTCATATCTTACATCTGTCATCATTTATGTTGGAATGTATAAAAGTATTTCCAGTGCCAATTATAAATCTTATTTACATGCATTGCTTTCTATTATTTTTGCCAAGTGTTGTGTGTGCTTTTTTGTGCAGTCATAAACACAGTTGGTCTAAATATTTTGTCAGAACCATTTTGAATTTCATTTGATTTCCTCTGGGACTAGATTTACAAACCATCTTTCACTTGTTAAGAATCAGAAAAATGCAATCTGAACAGAAGGCCTAGAAACAGCATATGGAGATTTTACCTAAGAATTTCACTGCTCTTGGTCATACAAGCATGAAGAACCTATGGCTCCTTTGATCCTAGTATCAAAATCTTGCATCATAAAATACAAAAGATTTGGCTTTGACAACATACAAAAGTTGAGTCACCTCCAAAACTTCTAATTTTAAAACCAACTTTTCTGTTTGTTGTTATAACTAAGTTTAAAAAAGATTTACAAACTGCATTAACTTTTCATCTATTGAAAATTCATTGCTTAGTAAAGTAACTGACACTTAAATTAATTTCTGGATAGATTATTCTGGATATTTACTTCTGGATATTCACATTATTTCTGTTTTCTTTTAGGTCATGTAACACAACATTCCAAAGTGTTATTACAAAGATGAAGCTCTCCAAAACTTCAGCCATCTTTGAATATACATTTTAAAGGACTTTTTTCCAAACTTAAAAATATTATTCTTTCTCTCATCATTGAATCAGTTAACTTTTGATGAAATCCAAGGACAATGAACTCATTTTCAATTTTGTGTCTTTTCCTTTTGTACAATGAAATCTTATTCTCATTTTGTTCATTGGGGAAAACCTAAACTAGTCCTTTATGGTGTTTTTTTTTTTTTTTAATCTTACCAACTTGCCCTCCATATTGATCTAAATTCTCTATGTCAAAGTTCCATGTAGTATGCCTCTATTAGTTTCAAGAACTGTTAAATATTTTGTTTAGCCTGATTTTTTTTTTTAAATTATTGCACAAGGATTTTTTTATTATTTGTAGAAAATGACTTTCGTCTATTTGAACTTCCTGCCTGACTACTGTAAATGGATCCTTACTCCAATATTTTAATGGTACTAATATGAGGCATTGCATTCATTGTTGCATAGCATTATTATCAAATGACTTGCACAAACAGTGTTTCAAGTGCCGGGGCCCAAGTCACAATATCCAAAATTGCCTTCTATGCGGAGGAGAAAATCAAGTTCTGTTTGTGGACAGCAAACAGATGAACTTACTTGCAGTTTTGGAAGTGAGGACTGATCATAGTGATAGCTGGGCTGGACTGTTTTGTTTGAAGAAAGGGAAGCTATGCAGCTTAATCTTTGGATTATTAATAATGATGTTAGTGACAGCATCTTATATTCTGACTGGAACTAAAGATGGTCTCTTGCTCATGCAGCCAACACTCCATTATGGAGTTTTTACCAGCAATTCAAATTTAACGGACAATGGCAACTTCTGTGATATGAAAGAACAGTTCCAAAAATCTAAAATGAATATTTCTTATGCAAAGGATTACCCCAGCATTAAAGTAATTATTGACACTATTGCTTCACACATTGAGTTCATAACAAGGCATCCTCCTGACTTGGAAGATCTGAAGAAACAAGAGATGCATGTAGGTATAAAAGAAGGCTATTTTGTGTTGTTAAACAGTTTACTGGATTGGAATATTTCCTTACATTGATTTGATGATGCTATTTTAAATAAATATGTTACTATTTATATGATTAGAGATCATAAAGATATATTTAATTTTATCCTTTCAGACATATAAGCACATCTTTTCTTGATATGTTCTTCAGATATTTCCCATTACATAGTACAATTAAGAGGAATTCTGTGGATAAGTATTTCCATTGGCTTGTTGTCTTAGCATGTCAGCTAGAGGCAGGCTAAAACATGAATATTGCAGCCTTGAAAAGTTCTTTATTTTATCTTCTGCATCTCTGGGAAATTCTGAGGCTGAGAATTACCCTAGTTGGATAGCTAGCACAATAGCCATGAGTGCTGCCTTATGATAATGGGGGTGCACAGATTATGCATTAGTGCCAAGAGAGTTTATCTATATGGCATGGGAAAGAAGTAAGAAATGTATGATTACATGATCTAATAAAAGAACTCATAATCTATAATATAAATATCTAACTTTGAAAGATAATTACTTTTAATTCTTTCAGTTATGCATAAAGGTCATTGAGGTATAAATCCCAAGTATAAACATTTATCACCACACTCTTTCTTATAATTTAATGGGCACAAAGGAGATAAAGAGATGGCTGCTACTATATAGACAGATAGTAAAATAACTGGTTATGCAGTGAATTGTCAAGAGGAAATTTTAGATGCTAGGAAATGTGGAGAGTGGTTGGATGTGCTGAGTGTGTGGAATCTTGTTAGAGTTGCAGTTGTGTAGCTCAGTCTTCACCAAGGAAAGGAATTCTGGAAGTTGAGGCACAATACATCTCTAGAACACCAAGACTTGTATGACTACATTAAAATGGCTGCCATGCAAAATTAATGTCATTTGTCTCTGGATATTCCTTCTGCCAGGACTTTATAACTTACATAGGTGAACGAAATTCAATCTCTCATAGGTATAAATAATGAGAAAAATTGAGTTTTTATATGGAAGAGTGTATAATTATGTGATTCATATTAGATAATTATATTAATCCTTCCTGATTTTAAAAACTGGCTAAAGTATATTTGTCTCCATGTCCACCTCTCTGTGTCCTCTTGGTTCTGTATTTCTGTAGTATCGGGCAGTTAAACATTAAACTAGTAGAATATGCAAATGATTGAACTATTATAATAAGAAATATTGCCATAGTACTTTAACAAAAACTTTTATTTTCTCTATTGCAGATGTTTTCAGTAATTCCTAACAAGTTTCTCCCAAACAGCAAGAATCCTTGCTGGTATGAAGAATACACAGGAAACAATACTAGAAATCCTTATGCTACAAACTCCTATGCCTTGTATTCCAAACGTTTTCGTACAATATTTGACTATCTTCGAAAGGTATTTTGGAATCATTTGTATCATTATGATGGCAAATACTACCGGCTACGCTGTCTTCCTCATTTTTATATAATTGGCCAACCAAAATGTGGAACAACAGATCTTTATGATAGGCTCAGATTACATCCTGATGTGAAATTTTCAGCAATTAAAGAGCCTCACTGGTGGACCAGAAAACGTTTTGGTGAGTAAACATGCTGTTCAGTAGTTTAGAGTTGTATTAGCTTAAATGAATGTTTAACCATCCTTAGGAAGCAGTAGTCAGTAATTTTGAAGTTTTTCAGCTCCTGGAAAGCAATAAACGATGCAGGAAAATAATCAAGAGATCCGGCTTTATTGTCTGAATCTGTTCCAAGTTGCCTTATTTTATTCCACATAGCAAACCCAAGCTAGCAGTTAAGTATGGAAAATCCTACCAGTTGGCATTTTTATGGATAAGTATATGGCACCAACAATATCATTACCTTGAATTATTTGCCCAGTGCAAAATGTGTTGATGTAAGCAGCAGTCTTTGTCTTAGTTTATTAAAGCTTAGAATGATTTTTAGCTACACAAGTTGTGTACAGAGTAGTTTAATAAAACATCTTAAAGTATCATTTAAAACAGTCAGAAGGACTGTCAACCGTAAATTGGCAGAAGCTGCCAAAAAGCGGTTAAAATGGATTGCACTTAATGTTTATTTGCTGATGTTATTTCAGACACTTGTTCCAATTTAGGGTAGAGGTTGATATAGAAATTCAGTTCTTGTTATTCTTTCAGGCAATATCCTTTTGCCAATTCATATTGAATAAATTATGTGCATTGTACTCCAGAGTTTTAATTACATTTATATCTTACCGTTCTCTGAGGAGCTCACACTAACATATAGTGGGATTCTCTTTGTTTTTATAAATGCAACAAAGCTGTGGGGTAGGTTAAGCTACAAGGTAATGACTGCTCCAAGTTCACCAAATAAGCTTCATGGCTGAGTGGGGATTTTATCTCAGGTCTTATCAACTGTCTTCCAGCACAAGTGAGCAAACAGTTTTTTTAGTTCTCTAGGTATTGAAATAAATACCTTGGTGTTAGCACTGAACAGTGACATGGCCAAGTTTGCTAATGGGCCAATTATTCAAAGAAGTAAAAACAAAAATGGGATTAAGGCTTCTCTGAGGGGATCTTTCCAAACAGGGGAAAATAGGCAATGCAGTGGCAAATATGGTTCAGCACAAGTAAGCATAGAATTACATCCTAACTTTGCATAACCACTATTCTATCACAATGCCAACATTGGAAATATTGCATGCAGTTGCAATCAGCACATTTCAAAAGGGATATCACAGAACTAAAAAAGGGCAATCAAAATAATTATGGAGTTGAATTGATTCCTAAAAGGAAAGACTTTCAAATTTTAAAAAAGACAAGTGAAAGGGGTATGATAGAAGTAGATAAAAATGTTGCCTGGTGTGGAGAAAGTAAATACATTTTTTCCTCTAACAGTGCTAGACTTCTGAAGATAAGTGCCTGGAAATTTAGGAAATAACTATATTTTGCCTGAAGGAGGTGATGCTATTATCGTGCCCAACAGCTGTTAGCCACTGTGGGGAAAAGGATGTAAGGTTTGAGAAGCCTTTGGTTTTACCCAGTAGGTCACTTCTTATAATCTTTTGTTGAGATATACAGCGATGTTCCATAAGCACAATAGAGGAAGGTAAATTGTGGGTGCTTTTCTACTGCTGCCTGAATTGATTGTTGGCCTATGTTCAGAGCTTAGGCCATTAGTTGCCGCCCAACTGCAGAATTCTGTTGCCAGGCCAGTAGTTATGCTGTCAGAGTCTGCACACCCAAAGTTCAGTAAATCCTCTGGAGTCCAAAGAGTTCCATCAAAGATTTCTTTATTCAGG